AGACTGCTGTGCGTTAGTTGACTGCTTTCAATCCTCTGAAACTCCAGCCTAGCTTCCAGAACTCCCTCCGTGAACTAAGCCAGGAACCAAAGGGTGGGGATGATCGCTGTCTCCATCTGCCTCGAGAAGGGGCGTTATCAGGTAGGAACCAACGCCCCATTCTCCAACGCAGGTGGAGACAGCGGTCATGCATGGGTTAACTCAGTCAGTAACCAATAGAACTGAGTCTACCAAAGTGATGTCATCGCCTCAGAGGAGTGTCCTTCCGCTTTTGGGACGAAGGAGATAAGTAGACTGCTGTGTGTTAGTCGACTGCTTTCAATCCTCCGAAACACTAACCTAGTTCCAGAACTCCCTCCACAACTAGGCCAGGAACCAAGAGTGGGGATGACCGCTGTCTCCACTTGCCTCGAGAAGGGGCATATCAGGTAAGAACCAACGCCCCATTCTCCAATGTTGGTGGAGACAGCAGTCATGCATGGGACATACCAAAGCTGGGCGTGTCCCCGGGTGGGAATGAGACTGGGCTAGGAGCTTGAAGAGGGAAGAACTTGTTGAAGCACCCTCCATCCGAACGCCGCATCTGCCGACGCGTATCTGTCCACCTTATAATGGCAGATAAAGGAATTGGGGTCTCCCAGTTGGCCGCCTTGCAGATCTCTTCCACTGAGGCCTGCCTTGTCCACGCTGCTGACACAGCCACGCTGCATGTGCAATGCACCATGATGTTGGATGGAGGTGAGAGGTGGCTCGCCTCGCGCCTGGTGTTGTGTAGTGAGACAGATACCTGGGCAGCTGATTGTTGGATGCCGTTGCAAAGAAATCTAGGACCGGGGTCCCGTACTGGTCGACAGCTGTTTGAAGATGTAACGGTTGAGGGTCCACTCCGCAGGGTCGATTGTTGTGCGGCTCAACCAGTCTGTTTTGGTGTTGTTGGAGCCCGAGATGTGTTTGGCATGGAGAGAGAGAAGGTTGGCTTCCACCCAGATCCCTAGGTGAAAGGCAGACTCCATGAGGGAAACAGCTCTCGTCCCCCCCATGGCGGTTGACATGCCCCTTGGCTGTTGTGTTGTCTGTCCGAATTAGCACATGTGTGTTGCGAACTGAAGATTGGAACTGAAGGAGAGCTAGATACATGGCCCTCAACTCTATCCAATTCATACTGTGGGAAAGGTCGGAGTCTAACCAGAGATCCTGAAGTATCTGATCCTCCAGGTGAGCGCCCCAACCCATCAAACTCGCATCAGTCGTAACTATGAGGTGAGGAGATTTCCTGAATAGGGACCACTGAGAGATGGTCGGGGAGATCCACCAGTCCAGAGAGTGAAGGGTCTCTGGAGTCAACCTGACTGTTGCTAGGGAACAGCTGCTGTTGGTCTTTTGGAATGGCAGAAGAAACCACTGGAGGCAGTGGCTGTGAAGCTGCTCCTAAGGGGCGATGGAGAAGCAAGAGACCATTTTCCCCAGCAGTTGAGACAGCTGAAGAAGAGGTGCCTGCTGTTTCCTCCGTACCTCAAAGGCTAATTCCCTAAGGCTGACCTGTTGTTCCCGAGACAGAAAGACCTTCCTCTGAGCAGAGTTGATGAGGGCCCCCAAGTATACTAGACGAGAGGTGGGAACAAGGTGGTTTTTCTCCTGATTGATGGAGAATCCCACCTCCTAAAGTACCTGCAAGGTGTCTTGCAGATCCCGCAGGGCCTGGGTGCGTGACCTGGAAAAAAGGAGGATGTCGTCCAGGTAGCAAAAGATCCGAATGGGTCTGGCACGTAAGTGAACTGCTACGACTGACAGAAGACCCTTGGGGCTGATGATAACCCGAAGGGAAGGGCCCGATACTGAAAGTGACAGGCCGCATAGACAAATTGGAGGAACCATCTGTGTTGTTTGAAAATGGGTACATGGAGGTAAACCTCCGTGAGGTCCACTGATGTTAGGAGATGGTGTTTGCGCACACTCTCTAGAATTGACAGGAGAGTGTGCATTTTGAACCTCCTGTACCTGATGAATCAATTTAAGAATTTGAGATCGAGGATCGCTCTCCAGCCCCCGGAAGACTTCGGCACGATAAAGAGATGAGAGTAGAACCCCTGTCCCACCTGGCCTGGAGGCACAGGTTGAATGGCCCATGTGAGGAGCAGATGATGGATGGCCTGCTCCACTAGGAGTTTCTTATGAGGGTCCCTGGATATGGGACACGGGACAAAGTGGTTCGGAGGGCTGGAGCACAAATCCAAGAGAAGGCCGAATCTGATCGTGGACCTGACCCACGCGTCATTGGTGATGTTGTCCCAATGATCTGCGAAGGTGGACAGACGTCCCACTATGGGGAGATCCTCCAGGCAGTTACTTTTGCCTCTTGTAAGATCGGTTGGTATTGTCCCTGAATGACTTTCTGGCCTGGAATCTCTGGCTGTTTCTGCCTGATCTGTTAGAAAAGGAGGGGCCCTGTCTGGGGGGAGCCTGATGTTGTGGAGGGAGCTGGAGGGACCCCCGTCCTGACCCGAAAGGGCTGCCTGCAATAAAAGGATTGACTGCGGCTCTCTTGTTTCTTAGTGGCCGGCTGCAAGACCTTCTGCTTATCCTTGGACTCTACCAATAGAGGATCCAATGGGCCCCCAAAGTGAAGAGATGAAGAATAGGGAGAGGAGGCAAGCCTCCACTTGGCCCAGGCTTCCGCCTGCCACTGCTTTAGCCAAAGCAGGCGATGGGTGGAGATGGAGGATGCTATGGCTTTGGATGCAAAACGGGCCGCATCCAAGGAAGCATCTGCAGTGTATTCTAGGGCCGCCTTTATTTTGTTAATATCCCTGCGAACCCTAGAATCCCTAGCCAGAAGCCTTCCCTGGAGTTGCCTCAGCCATAAGAGAGCAGAGCGACTAAAGAAAGAAGCAGAGGTACCCGCCCTAACAGCATAAGCCGAGGTCTGGTGCCTCTTGACCAGAGTTTGTTCTATTCTCTTGTCTTTGGGGCAAAGAGCCTCCTCAGGAGCTGCTGAGGCCACGTTGGGAGAAGAAAGGCCAATTATAGGTAAGTCGATAGAAGGTACCTCTAAAGCCTTGGTGAGTTCTGGTCTCACATTATACAGGCGCTTGTCCAAGGTATTGGCGAGGGGACCTGTACCTGGTGATGCCCATTGGTTCTGGACCACATCTATGAAGAGTCTGGGAGACGGAATCACCTCCTTTTTGACCTTAGGCTGGATGAAGAGGGGGTCAGTAGTGTCCACCTTGTCCGCTTCCGTTCCTTGAGGTGCTTTAGGAGAAGGGATGCCAGCGATTCTCTTGGTCTTAAAGAGGCAAGAATGAAAAACAGCAGGTTTGAACAAACTGACAAATGCAGGTGGGTCAGGGGGAAGACCCTCGTCTTTTGAGAGATCTGAATCTCTTGCTGGACATTCCTCTTCGCCAAAAACCGAAGGATGACTGGATGTGCCAGGGAGCTCATGTGATGACGAAGCCGAGAGGTCACTATCCCTGTGTCTGGAACCAGAGGAAGAAGCAGACCTGCGTGGGGTAGAGTGGTTAGAAGACCTATGTTTAAGGGCAGCTGCTACGCCACATTCAATGGCCTCAGAAATCATGTCTGCCATACCAGGTGAGTAAGAGCGGCGGTTGTGACAGGGAGAGGGGAAATTTCCTAATGGCAGAGGGGCTCCTCATCCGGAGTGATGCTCCTGCCACCCTCAGATTCATCCCCACTGCAGGTGAAGTCGCCTGGGCCCCTGGCCTCCTCAGGCTGAATGATGGATGCAGGAGGGGAGAGGTCATCCTCTGAATCAGATGATAAGTCAGGAGGAGGACTAGTCTGAGAAGGCCTTTGGGACTGAAATAGATGGGATTCAGTGTGGTTAGTCTTGGCCTTGCTGAAAGGGGCCTGAGTGGCACTCTCCTTTGCCTGTGGCTTAGCTGCACCCCTATGTGACTCCCTGGGGGCCTTGGGAGATGGCTCCATGGGGGATGCTTCTGGGGCCAGTTTGCATTTGTGGATCCCAGAAGAAGGGGTCTTGTTGGTGGGTAGAGGCATTTGTGACTCAGGAGCAGGAGATGAGGCCATCGTCTGTACTCATGACTCGTTGAACGGTTCCAAAATGGCCACCAGAGATCTTCGCACCAGAACAAAATGGCCGAGGCTACAGAGCCTATGGGCTGGGCGCCACGAGGTAGCCGAGGCTGCAGAACAAGTGAGGGCATCGAGGGCCCTGCGGAAAGGCTGCGGAGGCCGAGAGGAGCAGCAGCGGCAGTCCGGTGAGGCAGGAGCACTAAGGGGCGGCAGCGGCACTTCCTGGCGGTGGCGGCTGCTGGCGGCTTTTTATCGGCTGCTACCGGTCTTTAGCGGCTGTTTGGTGGCCTTGGTGGCGTTTGGAGTAGCTGCAGCACGAGGGAGAGGCCTGGAGGCCAGCAGAGGCAGCAGCGCAGAGTGGGACCTCCAACGGCCGTTGCTGAAAGGCACTGCTTACAGGTGAGCCTCTGAATTGCTGGTAAGCTCAAGAGGCAGAAGCCTCGAAGGAGCCCTGGTGAGTCTCTCCAAAAAGCCCAAGTCTATTTGAGAGACTTAGCTTTGAGGAGCTATCCCCTGATTCCTTCCAATTTGAATGTAATTTAGATGAAATTTAGAAAAATATCCAATTAAGTGTAATTAAAATATCTACTAAAGTTGAGGAGAATGCAGTTAGCACAGCCAGTTCGGATCGAACTGAGTCTAAAAAAGCGGGAGGATACTCCTCTGAGCTGATGACATCACTTTGGTAGACTCAGTTCTATTGGTTACTGACTGAGTTAACCCATGCATGACCACTGTCTCCACCAATGTTGGAGAAACAAAACTTCCTGCTATACTTACGGTCACAGAGTAGTTGAAATCTTGGATGAGCAGCAAGGAATTCCTCACTTGGTTTATTTTTCTTTGGATCTTGATTACCTCCAGCCTTTAACCAATGAATTCCAAATTTTTTTCTATAATCAAGTTCTGCTCCCCTCCTTTCTTCAGGAAAAATCTGGGGCAAAACAAGAGTGTATTATATGACATCAGAATAGCCATATCCATGTATATAATATCATTTAATATTTGTCATTGTTATTCCCTAAAGGAAGATTTCTTAAACTGTGGGCCAGAATCTCTTAAAGAGTTGTGAGCAAATGGGACAAGAGGGTAATCTCTCCCCCTCTGTCCTCTCCAGGATCCAAATATAAAGGCTTTCCTCTAAAGGCCCTTGTGTTCACCACAATGGTATCTGCAGGAACCCTATCCTAATCCTAAGGGCCATACAGTGATTCAAATAGGTTGAAGCAGTTAGATAATCTTGAGCAGCATTTGTATTGCCACCGCTAAAGGAGAACCGTAGCCTTGGAAATGAGTTCTGGCAACTATTCATCTTTGGTATGCCAGGCTGACTTCTGCAAACATAGTGCAGTAGTGCAGTCAATATAATCATTGTCAGATTGCACCCTATTCTATTTGACAGGAAATACCCTGTCAGAATGCATCCAATAGTTTTAATTCAGGAAGGGAAAGTCACACATTCATGTATTATTGTTGAGTATTCTTAATGCACCAACCAATTTGTAGAATCCATGACTAGTTGCCAGTTTTTAAAAAACACTACTATATATGCTTTTTTAATATTGCTAATGGAAAACAAAAATATACCTGTGAGTTGTTCAAAAACTTTAATTGGCCTATTTTGGCAATAATAAGTTGTTCTAAAGTCCTTGCATTGTTCTCTGAATCCATCAAAGGATTATTCCGACAGTCAAATGATTCAAGTTTTTGTAGCTTGTCAAGTTCATTGATAACAGACCACTGAAACACAGAGAATAAGAAAACACCGAGTCTGAAACCAAAATACATTTTGCTACTGCTTACATAAAGTTAAGCCAAACCTCCTTAGTGCAATGATTTAGAGATATCAATCTTACCCATTTATTAAAATAGCATAGTACTTGGGCATTATAATAAAATTAGAAATTAAAAAAAATAACAACTTCACAACACAAATAAAAAACCAAAATGTGTTAAATATTTTGATTATATTTAAAACTGAAATCTATTACAATTTTGGCCTGGCAATGCTTATATTGGTCAGTAATTTCCCACTCACTTCACTTGACTTAGGGAATAATAGCAGGTTACATGGTGGATACAGCAATGGTTATATCTTTGTATACTAATTGCCAGACAAATATAAAACTCAAATAGTCTGACATAAAATTATGCTACCTTACTGTGCATTTTTACAAATGATTGACATTTAAAAAGATAAAAACTGTAGTAAGTGAAAAGAATTGAATTCAGAACCCAATTAACGACACAGACATCTTACTTTTGCTATTTTATTGTCTTTTAATATCAGATGAGTTAATGAAGGGAACATTCTAGTCTTGTTACCTGTAAAAGAGAAGAATAAAATTAGTTAAATAATAGTGAAAAATTAAATTACTAGCATATATAACAGCATTTAATTTACATACCAAATGCTGCATCAGGAAAGTGCATAGAATAAATTCCATTGTTTGAAAGTATTAATCTTTCTAACCTGAAATTTAAAAGACAAACCATTAAAATAAAGCCAATAATCTGGATTTCATATCCAATAAATTGTAGTAAATCTGAAATTAGCATTTTGTCAAATCAGAATGCAAGATACATGTTGTAATTAAGATCCTTTATTGTAATGGTATAATGAAATGTAAAATAAATCAAGTAAAATAGAATAAAAGAAAAAAAGTTTTTTTTAAAAAAGCAGAAACTAAATTTAAGGCAAATATGTCATCATAGTCTGCAGGCACTGTTATTTGAGGATTCCTAATTAAGTACAGCAAAAGGTAGCAATTTTTGGAGTTCTGATGAAAATAGTTTGGCAGAACTAAAACACCAGCTGCACCACTATACAGGCTTGGTTCAATAAAGAGGTACAGTATGTAACATATCATGAGTAAGAGATTAGGAAAACAGCCAGCAGGATCATATTCCGCTCTGAAGAAAAAATGTATTTTGCTGGATAATACCAACAAAGTTACGTTGACATTGAGATTAACAGTAGTTCTGTACAACAGTTACCTGGGAAGATCCGCAATGAGATAAAGTTGATTTTCATCAGTTAACTGATTGTTAGAAAGATCTAGCCATTTCAGATTCTGGAGGACATCAATAGGTCTGCAAGGAAAACTCCTTATTTAAAATATTACAACTTTACAATAAAAAATTAGAAAATACAGTTCCATTCTTATTTTATCTGTTTGCTACCCTATATCATATAGAAATCATTTTCCGCCTTGATTACTTTTTAATTTTGATTATAAGTATAATCTTTATTGTCATTGTACTTAAATAAAACAAAATTTCTTGTTTAGATATTGCCGTACAAGCTTTGTTTTGGCTAACATCTGATAAGATGACCTTCCTGTATTCCCATAGTGGAAGCTTAGTTGGGAGAAAAAAACAAGGCCTGCTGGTTGTTGGGTCTCAGGAATTGTAAATTTAATCTGAAATAATGGTTTAGATAGTGTGCATGTTTGCTTGTTTTATTTATCCCTTCTATGTAATTATTTCATGCAATTTTGAAAATGGATTGTGGTTGACTACTCCAAACAATTTATACACTCTAAATAAGTGGAATATAATTTTCATTTAAATAAAAGCTTTTTCATCCATTAATTTCAGTTATCTTGACAATTCTTTTCTTCTTTACTAATATAAACAGAGCACCAGGAGAAAATCAAATACAAAACCAAACAGTAATTATAAGTGAAAAATACTAAACCTTAAAGGAAAACAAAACTGAAAGTGTTATACAATTTTTACTAATAAAACCTCACTGATGTATTTGAAGATAAATCAAGAATTTAAATGATTAGATGTGCTTGATTCTATATATATACAATAGTTTTTACAGTATCTAGTATACCTGGAAGAGCAGTTATCACACAGCCTACAGTTTAACAGGAAGGTGGACAGATAAAGCAGTGGACCTACTCTGAACTACACATTCCTTTTGTCACCATTTACTTTCCCTACTCTACTCAAAGGCAATTTCCTGCTTCTGATCTTGGTTTGTGGCTTTTCTCAAATCAGGATGGAAGATGGGCATATCATAATGAAATGATATTGAATCTTGAATGTCAGCAAACCATCCTTAATTTACATATTAATTAATGGATAGTCAACACGTTTGTAATAATGTTTTAAAGATGGCAAATATTCTCTGCAAGATGTTTTTATATATAAAAACAAGATACACAAACAAACAAATACACACACACACACACACACACACACACACACACACACAGGATTGTATCTATAAACATAAAAGTCTAATGCTTACAGTCACATCAATCAGTATGATTCATAATTAGAAATTTTCAGGCCATGCCAAAAATATGCAATATAGAGTCCTTGCTTACTAACTAATTGTTCAGCAATTCTTTGAAATTATGACAATGAAAAGGGAAATGTATGATGGGTCCTTGGAGTTGTGGGCATCTGGTTGCAATTTGGGCACTTGCCAACCCAAGTTCAAAGTTTAAGTTCAAAGTTTAATGAATTTATATGCTGCCCAATCCCGAAGGACTCCGGGCGGCTTACATAAAAAACAGTTTTTAAAAAAATACCAAAAAAAAAGTTAAAATAGAGAGGCAAAGCAAGTTAAAAAGACACAATATGCACTCAATCTTAGTGGGGCTGGACCTCATTCAAGAGGTCAACAGCCCCAGGTCTGCCGGAATAGTCAGGTCTTAGTAGACTTTCAGAAGGCAGAGAGAGTGGGAAGGGTCCGGATTTCTGGGGGTAGATCGTTCCATAGGGCCGGGGCAGCTACACTGTCTAGTCAACGGCACCCGGAGAAGGCCTATCCTGTGTGATCTTATCGGACGCTGGGAGGTATGTGGCAGAAGACGGTCTTTACTAATAAAACAAAGCATATTAATGAGTTGCAATGACCTACAGTCAAATGATTGCCATTTGTGACCATCACAGCCAGTCTCTGACAAGCAAAGAAAATGAGGAAACAGGCAGAAAGTTGCAGATCACAGTCATATGATGTCATGCTTGATAACTGTGAGTCATTTAATAATTGCAGCTGGAACTGACAAACTGATGTTGTAAGTTGGCCCATTCATGTGATCTTTCACTTTATAACTGCATCACTTAACAACGGAGTTGCCAGTCCCAATTTGGCTGGTAAATGGCAACTACCTGAATCATATCTGTAAAACAATGGCTGTATCAATAATTACTCTCATACCTTTTTAAAAGTGAAATGCTATTGGAAGCAAGGTACAGTTCTTCAAGAGCCGGCCACCCTGTAGCACATAAAAGAACCTAACGGAAAAACACCATTTAGTCCAAAAAGCAAACTTCACTTGCCTTTGTAGGCAAAATCAAGTAATACCAACTTTATACATTTATTTCAATAATACTTAGAGCTACCTTGAAATGTATTTCATGGTTAGGGGATCTACTTTCATTTTTTAAAAAAAAAACCTTTCATTCTTGGAAGGGATGTTGGGTTCAAAAATGGGGAGAGCCATCTTACTAGAGATAAATGCAGATAACTTGGAATCAAACCCCTTCAGATAAGTGAGAGAACAGTGAAGATCTGGAAAACTACATTTCATGATATTCCCCATATTTTGAAATGGAAGTTTCAGGAGTTGGAAGGGTGGGAAATTGAATAGGAAATGTTACTGGGCACTTCATGAGTAAGATGGGAAATCTTTGAAGCCAGGTGTTCACTGATCAGAGTCACTGGTTTGAGATGGACACCTACAGATATTAAATAAATAAACTTTTAACAAGCTCTATGTCTGACTCAGAAAAGCTGGAAAACATTTCAACAACTGAGAAAAATTTCATGTGCATATCTGCATAATGGGAAGAAGAACATCTGCTATTATGACCTGCAAAGCTAGTAGAAGTACCATACATTATTTTATTGGAAAATTTACTGTTCTTTTAATTTTTCCAGGATGCAATTTAAGCAAAGTTTACGTAGCGTCAATACAATTGATAAAATTGATGAGGCAAAATATGGATATATTTTTCTCTCAGTTTTCATAAGTAATGTCCTACAGGAGCTATAGGAAGAATAAATTGTGATGGTAGCCAGATTCCTTACATGCTTTTTTACTAAGAAAAAAATAATGTATAAACTTTTGCAAAGATTGCATATTTTGGAAGGATGTTGGCTTATATATCTTTGAGTGTTTTATTAGAATTACAAATGATATGACTAACAACTAACCATAAACTTTCAAAGATCTAAATTGTATTACCTCAGTCCATGTCACTCCAGTCTGATTAAGTGCCAAAATCCTGAGTTTACAAAATGTTTGTGAAGCAGGTGGTAGAACAGATGGAAATTTCATTTTGTTTTCACTATTCCAAAATTGAGGAAAAAATATATTAGAAAATGGAACAATTATAGCACATCAATTTTTCTATTGCAATTTAAGACAAAGGTATATTAGGTCTTCTTTTACATTTCTGTTCATTTATCATTTTTGTTTACATTGGTCTCCCATATTTCATGCTAGCAACAACTGCAGAGTTAGACACTGAGGTTTCAGAGATGTAATATAACTTTCAAGTCATATTATCTCTATGGTATTAGTTTAAGGTGTAAGATCCTAAATCCAGAATCAAATTATAGGCAAGCCTTGTTTCTAAAATAAAGAAAAAGCCCCATACTGGTGGTGCACATATATTCAGAATTTCATCCTTTACCATGTAAGGATGGCACTTAAGGGAATTAAAAAAAACAATTTGAGATTATATTAAAAACTAGCAGGAACCACAGTGTAAAGTGAGTATTGGTACCATTAACATAAACATTTAAAATGCTTTGACAATGTTTGATACAGACAAAGGATTGGGTTTAGAGTTCTCTTTCACAAATGAAAAGGCTCTTTCATTTTCCAGAAGGGCAGAAATCCAGTAGAGACTATCATTGGAAAAATAGAAGAGAAAAATGTGATTTTTCCACAATTCCCTTGTAGAACCTTGTATTGCTCAAGGAGACTCTAACCAAGGGAAAAGCTGGAGCAGCTTTTCTTCGGGCAAAGTGGAAAAAAAGGAATCAGCAAAAATTGTCTTCTCATTTGGTCCAAGAAAAAAATTCCCCAAAACATAAATCTAAGCTCATCTACACATTCTGAAATTATCTGTGAATACCTGATATTAAGTGTTTCTAAATTTTCAACTTGGCAGGCAATAGCTAACACTTCTTTCCAAGATGACAGAAGATTTCTTGATAAGTTTATCTGCCGAATATCTGAGCAAATATATTTAAGAAAATTTTTTCAAGATTGAGTTTAAGAAATATGACCTTGCACTATGCTAGTTTAAGGACTCCATGACTCAAGAAATATTGGAGCTTAGGTATGGAGAAGACAATACTTCATTGACCAGGGACCATATGGGGACAGGTGTCATGGTAATTAGAGCTACAGGTTGGGCCATTTCATGCACATGACAACACCAGACATGCCCAATATTCTTGCCATTTTTTCCTGAGAAGAGATTGATTTAAAACAGGGAGTAAGACAATCTAAACCCTATTGCACAGCTTATGTACAAAACGACAAGGAAACTACACTATGCATTTTTGGTCAGAGGAGCTGTATAAAGGACTTCAGGATGAACTCAAGAGAATTTAGTTTAGACATTCATTCTAACATTCCGACAGATAAGTTTTACTTTTTGATATTACATTGCAAATAAATTGTAAAAGTAATGAATTTTATAACAGCTGATTTTAAATAAAATACATTTCTGGGAATGCGGAATAAAATCAAACTATTAGAGAGCTGAGGTGGCGCAGTGGTTAGAGTGCAGTACTGCAGGCCACTTCAGCTGACTGTTATTTGCAGTTCAGCGGTTCTAATTTCACCAGCTCAAAGTTGACTCAGCCTTCCATCCTTCCGAGGTGGGTGAAATGAGGACCCAGACTGTGGGGGCGATATGCTGACTCTGTAAACCGCTTAGAGAGGGCTGAAAGCCCTATGAAGCGGTATATAAGTCTAACTGCTATTGCTATTCGATGTATCAAGAAAATAATAAGATGGAAAATATTTAACATTAAAAGATCATATAAATCTATATAAAATTGAATGAAAGTAATAATCTTGTTTTCAATTGGAAAAAAAAATTAAAAATAATCCTGATTTTCAAGGCTGAAATTGCAAAAATGACAAAACCATATTTTCCCAAAACATCGTCATCTATTTTATGCTGCTTAGGGTACTGCTACTAGAATGGACTTTCCCTCTGTATTATCTTCAAAAATTTCCCCAATTCTCTTCAGTAGTTTTAAAGAGCACAGCAGGCTGTGATCATGGAAGATGCTACTATATTTTAGAGTGTTTTTCAAAAGGCTTTTATTTTAGACTACTAATTTTGTCTAAGGACGTTTCCTGTAGTTATATAACCTTATCTAATTCTTGAAATCAACACTATGCTTCAGACCACATACTTTATGAACAGTTTGACAATATAAAAAGGATACTAGGGCATGATTTTCTGATTTCTTCTTCTTGACCTGCAAGACTCACGGCACACCTATCTACTGAAATGTCGCGCAAGGTATTCAATTGCCTACAAAAAAGTGTCTCATTAGAAGAACATTCAGGGTATTTTTTTGACAGACAGAAAAGAAAGCTAGACAAGGTGATGCAAAGCATGGCAAAATGCTGTTGAAGTAGAAAATATTTAGGCAAAAAGAAAATGAAACCCAAGGAAAATGAATTACTGTATTCTTCGAAGCATCAGATGCACCTTTTCCTCCCCCTAAAAGTGGGTGAAAATTTAGGTGCGTCTTATAGACCAAATATGGACATTTTTGGCCTCCCAAACCCTCTGTGTATCGCGTTCACCCTCCAAGGCCCCCAGAAGCAATCTGTAGTGCTCTGCACATCCCGTTTTTGGGCTCCCAATTCCTCTGCATGTCAAGTTTTCTCCCTGTACTTTGTAGGCAAAAAACAGGCATGTTTTTGGCGAAAACAGGATGTGTGGAGCACTGCAAAGTGCTTCTGGGAGCCAGGGAGGATGAAAACGCGACACACAGAGGCCCAAAACTATTTTTTTCTTGTTTTCCTCCTGCAAATTTAGGTGCATCTTATAGTCTGGTGCATCCCATAGTCCAAAAATACAGTAATATGCTTTCCCTCCAAGCTTCATTGCCTTACTTTACTTAAGATAAAGAAATCAATATTTCAAGCCAAAGCAGTAGGAGCAATAGGAGCCCTTCTCAGATGAGTCTTTCATGTTACTGTTCTGCAGACACAGCACCAGTATAACAGAGTATTTTCTGAGAGAGAACATTCTACAATGCATATAACAAAATAACAACAGCTACAGGGTAAATTTAAGAAATAATACAGCAAAAGTGTAGAAAGGTTGCACAAGGGCAAGGATTATAATAGGGAATGTGATATAAACATATGAATGTGTTAGTAGCATCAATAACATTCCAATAGTTTAGAAATACATTCAACATGCTGCTGCTAATTTTCAGAGGAACTGTACTTGCTTTTGTTTTTTCTTAATGGAATCAAATCCAACTGTTTCTACAGTTTTCCTTCCAAATACTAATGGCATTCCTGTTTCACTCTCCGGATTGTGCTCATTTTCATTCACTCCATACTTATCCTTAACAGCGGAAAGGAAATCTACTCCAAAATTTGCCTTGTTTGGGCGGATAAAGGATCCACCTGTAGGATGCCTGGAGGGAAAGTGACAACAGTTGTTTAAAAGCAGTTTTAAAACATCTTGTTTGAGAAACAGATGATTCCAGATGACCTGTTCCTGAATAAAAAATGCATGTGTTTTAGTTGATGTTCCAGATATGGACCAAATCAGGGCTGATTTGTTTCTGATAGTCTTGAAAAAGTTGGGAGGAATATAAATGTTTTTAAAGTTCTATTTTAGCTGCCATATTTGCATTCTCCAATCTGGGCCAGAGTAGTTAAACACAAAAACACTAGTACAATAAATTCATATTATTAATGTTCTGTGAAATCATGAATTCTGAGTAAGCGCATACCAACAATCTTCTTCCTTGTAAAGGATCAGGCTGGACAGTTTAATGGAAGGAAGAAAATGGTGAAGGTCGGGGCAGATGAGCTGGAACTTCCCAACTATTCAGGACTTTGTGGGAATTTGTGGCTTGGAGCCTCTGGAGCTTCTAGTAGAGCGATTGCTTTGTGCTCTGTGGGAAGACTTTCTGGTTTTTAGCCTTCAGTCAGGGTAACTGATTTCTTATCTCACTGTGTTTTATGTTTTCCCAAGAGTTTTGTGCTTCCTGGGTGTGACACCTTTTCACTGCACTGCTGGATCAGTCTGGGGCAGCTACAGCTTCTTTCCTTTTCTCTAACTTGCACTTAGCCTCCACTGGGACTCCCAGAGACTCCCCCACCTCTGAGGCACTCCACACTCTGCATAATGACCCATGTGACTACTTAACAACGATGTCTTGGAAAGCCATGATGCAACTGTAAAATTGAGTCATTATATGGTTACCCTCTTAATGACATCAAAGACTTAAGACCAAAATTCCAGACTCCGTTGTGATTGTAAGTTGAGAACTACCTGTATCACCTTTTGAAATGTGCAAACCAGCTAGCACTAGCCAAGAAGGGTAAGAGCATTGTCCTTGAAGTGCGTAATGTGGCTGTAAACATCTCTGGATTTAAACTTCACAACTTTGCTCCCTACTCTATTTGTTTGTTTTTTAAATTGATCATGATCTCACGAATCTACAAATTTAACTACCTTTTCATCCTTTCCTCACATTACAGAAGTTAATTTGGTAGTTTCTGTTGTGGTTTCAGATACAGATTGGCAAATTTGCTCCTTCTTTTTCTGGATATATTGTATTGCTAAATCATGAATACTGAACTCATGGCCAATAACAATGTAAGTCATACTTGAAGAAAGCCTATCTAGCATGCGTACTTTCTCTTAAGGCTCACCACAGTCTCCTTGCATTCAGAACATTAGGCTCAAGGGTCATTTTAACCAGCAAGATTATCAATATAAAAGAAGACGTGCACAAAATGGTAACTCATATTTTTTTCTATTCTCCACATGTACCAGGAAGGCTTCATGAATATTGATTTGAGATTACAAATACTGTGTTTTCCCGAAAATAAGACAGGATCTTATTTTATTTTGACCCCCAAAATAAGCACTTGACCTTATTTTTGGGGAGATCTTATTATTTTTTATGTGTAGGAGGCAGCGAGTGTGGTCACTTAATGGCTGCTTCTATGTTGCAATATTTCCGGGGGAGAGCTTATTTTCGGGGAGGGCTTATTTTAGCGCATGCGCTCAAAAGCCTAATTGGGCTTATTATCCAGGGTGGTCTTATTTTTGGGGAAACGGTAAATTTTTGTGAATAGGAGAATTTGTAAATATGTACTTATTTGTATAATTACTCTATTGCTTAGTAATAGTATATTTTTGGGTATTCTGTGCATGTGATTGAGTGATATTCAGCATTATTTTATAAAACAATCTTCAAAGCTCTAAAAGCCCCATCAAAAGAGGAGAAAGCAAAATTAAACTTGAAATATTTGGCATGGGGAGCAATAAAAAAACAAATTACAGATACTTTACTTAAATTCATTGTTTGATTCCCCAATAATTCAAATAAATCAGGCAGTTGGCTGATAATTTCCAAGAAGATTCAGTTAAGGTAATAAACACCTACATTCCTAAGGCTAACTGGTACAAAAATACAATGCATTCAAGTTATTGGTTACCAGATAATATTATTAAGAGTCAAAGGAAAATAATAATCTTATTGCCTGATTCATTTATAATTTGCACATGCTATTTATTTGTTGAAAAGGGAAATAGTGTTTTAGAATTAACTCACCTGCATTCGAAATACTGTATTCCTTCATGGCTACCATTATGTTTTCCTCTTTCATGGTTGTCCCATTCAACTCCAAGCCAAATTCCTAATATTATGAAAATCAATGATTTATAATGCAACTTTCAAAATGGTTCATCAATAAAACTATTTAAGGTCATAATAGCTACTCAGGTGATCTGATCTATTCTCTCTGTGCCCAAAATAGTCCGCCTCTTCCTTATGAAATTACTTTTATATTGACAGAAGGGCTACTTCTAATTTTTAAAAAGCTATGCTATCCCAAATGTATGAAACATATATCATAACATTCACAATGAAAAACAAATATTCCACATTTGGAAAAAGAATATTCTAGAGCAATATTCTTTCTCTGCTTCAGAGAAAGTTCTTGTAGGATTTGTCTGATGCTCTGAATCAACAAGTTCCATCCCGAATTAGTAATTCAACTGCACAAATAACAGAAGAACTGAGTTTCCTAATAGTACATAAAATTTAACTAAGTTTCAGCATGCTTAGGTTGTAACAATAAGGCTGATGAATTAATAGTTTCATTTTAAGGAGATTTCTTTCTGACACTTGAATTGCCAAAACGAACCTTTTCAACTGTGATTTTAGCATTCCAATATTCATTTTTGTTTGTTTGTTTACTTATTTATGTATTTATTGCCACCTTTATTATTTTTATAAGTAGCTCAACATAGTGAAGATACCTAATATTCCATCCTCTTCCTATTTTCCCCATAACAATCTTGGGAAGGAGGGAGGGAGGGAGGGAGGGAGGGAGAGAGAGAGAGAGAGAGAGAGAAGAGAAGAGAGAGAGAAGAGAGAGAGGGAGAGAAAAAAACTGGGCCAAAGTCACCCAGCTGGCTTTCATACTTAAGGCATTTTCCTAAAGGTTTTTCAAAAACCACACATCAAGTTCAAATCACCTAGAATAAACTCAGGTTAAAGACTTAAGCTTTAAAATACAGTATATTTTTTTTATGTTGTAGAGACAACTTGTCTTAAATTGCAGTTTTAAATTTTAACGAGTCTTCCTTCAGAGCAATCTGTACTGAAAATATCTTTAACATTTATTTTACTTCAGATTACTTTATTATCTGCTGTGGTATTCCTGCATTTCTATAGTGTTTATTAAATTGAAAAACACTTTCAGATTCATTGAAGACTTCTTTTCATTAAAAACATGGTATGAAGACTCAAAGTTCTTTTTCAAAGCATTAACAGGTTGTGTGATTCATAATTCTAGCATCTACTTTGAAGAGCACAAGGGCAAGCCATTAAAAAAAACAGTTTATGGTGACGGCTATATTTTTAAGCTATTAATTCAAACATACCAATCTGTAAGCAAACAAAAGAAGTGTTTACACTAACACATCTGTATCTGAATTCGAAGTAGAAAAAGTTGGAAAGGAAACCTCTGGCAGTAAAACATGTCAAAAAGAAGTCTGATTTAGTTTATGCAGCTTCTAGTTAAGATGGTAGAGAGAACAGAAGCATCAGAATTTCTGTCCTTGTGATTTTAGGGGAGCTTTGTTTTCTCTTTGCGGTGTGCATGTGGGATGTAGGATTGATATTCACATGCAGGGAGGTTAGACTGTTGGATTAGACTTCCTGGCCCAATCTAGGTTTTCTCAGTGGGAGAACTGGGAGACGTCTGTTTTGAAATGTGCCTGCCATGCCAACCACATTTGCCATGCTTGGGAACTGGGTAACTTCAAAATTAGGCCGTGGCATTTCTCACATTCTCAGACTGGTCTGACTATTCCTGAGGCATCCACTACTGCAGGGACGTATTTGGATTGGACAACCGCTCAGGCTATTTCCCAGAGGAGGAAAATGTCTATCATGCAGCCTGGGGTGAGTGTGTGTTGAACTGCCTGGCTGCTTCTATGGAGTATGGTGTTGAAGGGACCCCAGGTTTGGGGGAGAGTTAATAGCAGAAGGGGAGGGATGCCCTTGGATACTAGTGGGTATGAGAGTGTTGATTCCTTCCTCTAGGTGAGAGCTGGAGGAAGATTTGACAAAGGTGAAGGAGGAAGTGAGCCTCTACCCACTGGTCGAAGCAACAAGGGAACGTGTCTTGCATAAACTGTGTGTGTGTGCATGCTTGTGTGATGTGTGTACAGCGAGCTTGTGAGGAAGTGACTGCTGGGTACCCTGCACTGAGACCTGGTGGAGGTAAGTGCCTCGGGGTAGCTGGCTTTGCCTCCCAAGGATACTTGGCAAGGACAGTAGGTGGGTTCCCAGGCCTGGGATCTAAACGTCTTGGATAATGGGATGGAGTTACTATTTGGGGAATGGAGGCAGCCCCAAGTACTATGATGATGATGGGCATGGAGAAATATGGTGGGAGACATAAGCGGGTCACTATCAGAAACCATGGATCCATTGTTTTGTTAACAGCTCCAAGTTCCAGCTTCTTGATCTCAGCCCTAAGGCTCTGTCAATGGACCTTACTCTCTGGTTGATACTACTAAATGCCGTGTCAGTTTATAATAACCCCACTTATCCATGATTTGACTGTGGATGAGAGGACACGATTACCAAGACCTAGCTGGGTCCAGAAGAGGGAGTTTCCCTCCCTGAAATTTGTCTGAGTTTCAAGTGTGACATCAACCAAGACCCTACAGCAGGGGTGAGGGATGTGGTGATTGTCACCAGGGACTCTCTTAGTTTTCAGAGACATTGTTCCACTTGTCCCCACTTGTGGACCCCTGATCATTAAGTTGGGCTCTAGGGATCATCTGGGAATGCTGAGAATCATCTGGGAATTCCCTGTCTGAGTTCCTTGACTTTTTCTGGGTTGGCAATGGAATTCTCCAGATTTATGTTTTAGCGGGACTTTAATCTTCCTTCCATAGGAATAGACTGAGATGGCTTCCAAGGCCTATCTCAGGTCATCCAGAGTCTGACTTGGGATAGTGGTCACACTCTGGATCTGTTGTTCCTGTTGAAGCAGTGGCAATGTGATCTGAAATTGGGAGGTCTCTCCTTTGTCATGGCTGGATCATGTCCTAGAGTATTATGGGTGCTCAATAAAGGATGAACTCAAGTGAATACAGGTTAGAATGTATGTTATTGTAGTAAGAATGATGAAGCACCAGTATTTCTCTCCCCTTATTGGATCTGGAGATTGCAAACCTGCAGCTCGGTTTTGGGTGGCATGGCTCCTCCTGGACAAGGGAGCTTAGAGAACCTCTTACAGGGGCAGGCAGAGGAATTTGCATAGTACCTGTCAGATAAAGTTGCTTAAATACTAAGATGCTTAAATTTGTTACAGGTCTCGAGATTCCTAGGGAGGAATCTTGCCTGGTTATTTGGGAATGGTTCAGACTTGTGACCCTTGAGGAAATGGATAGAATCATCAGATTATGAGCTCAACCACCTGTTCTTTAGATCCAGGCCCCTCCTGGCTTGTTACAGTGGCCTGAAGAGTGTTGTGTGAATGGGTTCTGACAGTAGTTAATTTTTCTTGGTTTCATTATCTCCTAAACAGGTTATGGTTTGTCCTCCACCCCCAAAAGGCATTGCAGAATCCTACTATACTAGATACTTTTTGTCCAGTATCTCACCTCCCTTTCATGGTGAAATTGGTAGGTAAGGTGGTCATGAAACAGATTTAGAGGGCCTTGGAGAAGGCAGATTATTTTGATCCTTTTCAATCAGGAGACAGACCTGGGCATGGGACAGAAGTGGCATTGTTCTCATGTTTAGAGGATCTCTGGCATGGGAAGGATGGAGTTATAAGCATCAAGGAGAGGTTACGCCTTCGACCTCTACTATGTGGGGGGGTGTTATAGGGTTTGGGCTTTCTCCGCTCTTAACTTCTACAAAACGTTGCTGGGAGAGCTTACAACCTGATTATATATCTTCATCCCTGGTGAGTTATGCAATGCTGTGAATATCTTATCCTGGCATCTGGAGGCAGTGAGGGTCTGGGTGGGCAACAACAGGCTTTAGCTGAACCCCGGGAAGATAAATAGATTTGTATTTTGGGGTCCACTGATTCCAAGATACCATCTTTGGATGGAATCACACTACTCCAGACAGACCCAGTGCGCAATCTGAGAGCCCTTCTAGAGTCACAACTCCTGCCTGATGAACAGGTAACAAATAAAACTACAAGGGTCTTTGACAGTTTTGTTTTGTGCACCAGTTATACCTGTTCCTGGATGAACAGGCCCTGCTTGCAGTCACTCATGCCCTGATCACCTTCAGATTGGACGATTGCAATGTGCTCCACATGAAGATGCCCTTGAAGCTTCAGCTAGTACAGAACACAGTAGTGCGGGCAGTTATGTGTGTTTCCTAGAACAGTGCATGCTACACCTCTAATCCATGAGCTGCATTGGTTTCCAGTTGGCATGTGAGTTCAATTCAAACTGCTGGTTTTAACATTTAAAGCACTTCATGCATAGGACTGGACTATCTGAGGGACTACCTCTTCCCACTTATGTAAGTCCACCCCATTAGACCTGACACAGTAGTCATGCTTAGGGTTTCATTGACTAGAGAGCTATATTTGATGAGTCTCAAGAGACATGTCTTCTCTCCCATGATGCCTCCCTTATCAAACACCCCACCCCCCCGGGCCCATATTAGTTCAGGTTCAACTCTTGATATTCTGAAGAGCCATCAAGACTTGCCTGTGTTATTAGGCCTATAATTCGCAGGCAGAAAGACTTGCTTAGATAACTCCATTGTTAAAGTGGCTGTTTTTATCCTCTCTTAGCGTTTATTTTTGGCTTTTGCAATATGTACCAATATGATTTTTATATACGTTTTTAACATTTGTTGTTTTCATCTGATTATTGATTGCACGCTGACCAAAGGTGCTGTTGATGAGATGGACTATTATATAAATTTAATTAATAATAATTTCTAGAAGGAATTCAAAGTAACCATTTTATTAGTAGCCCCCAAACTATGGAACATGCTGCCTCTACACATTCATTTGGCTTTACAAGCCCCTGCATTCTGGGAGACTTCCAAAACCATATCATTTCAACAAGCTTTTGGCTACTAATATGATTGTTAATGAACATCAATGTGACTTTTAAAAATTGATTATATTATGTCTTGTGAAATTTGATTGTTAGTGCCATTTTCTCCTTGTGACTGCTCAGAGTCTTGAAGCAACTGATAAATATTACAAAACAAATAAACAGTTAAATGATGTCACCCTTTTATTTTACAAAATACATATGATATAAAAATATTTTTTCTACCTGTTGTAGGAGGAACGTTACCAACATAAAGTACTGTTCCATATTCTCCATTACAGAGAATTCTTCGACCAACTGCATCAGAAGGAATGGTATCACTCATCAAGAGAGATGAGTTCAGGATATTTCTTTATGGATCTAGGGAAAGAATTAACAGTACTTTTGATATATTATGCTATTTATGAAATTAATCACATACAGTACATAACATCTAGGTTCAGACTGAGCAAGACACCTAGTCACTATGTACGTCACTAGCCATGCAGTTTTAGGGTATCAATACAAAAGTGGAGTGATATTACATTATTCTGGGATGTTATGGTTTTCCATTTAAAAGATCCTGCTTCTTTTCTAAATCCAAGAAAGGTCATCCATGTACTGCCACTACTGAGACAATAGTACATATACTTTACATCATCTACCTTAAGGAATTTAAACTGAAGGTGCCTAAAGAGCATATTAAAAGTTTAACAGCAAAATGAGTAAATCTAGTTATCAAATAATCATACAGTAATTTACAATGCAGTAATTCTTTGAAACTGGATAGTAATGCCTCTATCAATATTTGGATCTTTATAGGATACTATTCAACCCAGCCAGCTTACTGTCCCATATAGTAAGGACCAAGATGAGTTTGCTAAAATTAAGCTAAAATGCAATTTTACTATGAATAACACCACAGTGACACTGGCACTGATTTTGCTGAAGGTTTACTCCCCAATGTCTTGAACTGCAAGAAATTTGTCAAATACAGTATTAGCATTTCAAGAGCCAAAAAGCGGGCTTTGTGGGTGTGCAATACCCAAAATAATTTGTCTAACCCTATTCCCCCGCTCCAGACGACTACTTCAATGTTGAATCTTGCATTCTGTGGAAAAAAGAAATGATCTGAAGTTTTTCATACATAGACAACTAAAAGTCTATGCTGTGAGTGGCAGTTACCATGAAAACCATACATCCTGTTTTTAGAAATCCGAGCACCTTTAAAGAGGGAAAAAACCAAGCTTCCCATCCGATTGAAGGCGAATATAGGGATCCCAGGATAATGTTGCAGGATCCAATCTGAGTCGGTTAACGGGACCAGAGAGGTTTTGTCTTCCGAACTGTCGGATTCATGCTTGAATTTTTCCTCCTGTGGATTGTAAATACCACACTTAGATGAAATGGGCTCCAGTACGATTCCGAAAGCTCGCAGGAAAAACCTCTGGTGCCGGCGACCGACCCAAATTGGATCTTGCATCCCATCCGAGCTTACAGCCACCAGGAGAAAGAGCTAAGCTGCACATCGCTGAAAGCGGCGAACTCACAGCAACAAAGCGAAGGCTGAAGGGGGGCACGGAAAGTACCCGCCGCTCGACTAGAAGAGGCTCTGGAAGCGAAAGGAGAAAACAAGTAGAGCGAGATTCAGTAGCGCGGCGGCTTCAACCTACTGCGGCCTCCTCGGCTTCCGCCACTCCTCGGCCGCCTCACTCTACAACGCAAACCCCTCCCCTCCCGCCTAGACCGCTCCTCCGCCCGACTGAGGGATAATGCGCCACCGGCGCTTGTTGGCGCAGGCGCGAGCTCCTCCCCTCCTCCCGCTTCGAGAAAGCCCTCTTCGTCTCTCCCTCTCCCCCCCTTTCTCATTCTCCTCTCCGTCCTCGCGAGGCATCTCGGGAGCTGTAGTAACGGCGAAGAAAATTTCCCTCATAGACTGCGGCAAATGGGCGGGACAAAACCATGCTACCCAGAAGGCGCTACGAATCCGAGTCTCTGTTTCCATAGAACTGGAGTGGGAATTACATCAGCGTTTCTGAGGCAGCGGCTAATGGCGACGGCGAGTAGGCCAATGCGAAGCAGGCAAGGCGGGCAGAGGGCGGGCGTCGATGCGTCAATCAGGCATCGGATCGGGGGAGGGGACGGAACAGCTTGGAGCTGAGCCGCTGCT